ATAGAATACTATTCAGCCATAAAAAAGAATAAAATAGTGTCTTTTGCAGCAACTTAGATGAAACTGGAAGCCATTATCTTAAGGGCAATAACTCAGAAAAGAGTCAATTACTGCATGTTCTCACTATCAGTGGGAGCTACATAATATGGTACGTATAGGCATACAGTGGAATAATAGACACTGGAGATTCGGAAGGCTGGGAGGGTGGAGGGTGAGGGATGAGAAATTACTTAATGGGTACAATGTACACTATTTGAGTGATGACTACACTAAAAGCCAAGACTTTACCACTGTGCAATATATCCATATAACAAAACTGAACTTATACCCCCTAAAATTATAAAAATAACATGTATAGATGGATCTGGTCCAATCTTAAGACATATACTAAGTAAAAAACAAACAAAACCAAAAGGCTAGCTTGGTAAACATGCTATATGCCTGTGCTTTTAAACAACGAATGTAACTATACACGTATCTCTCTTTGGAAGGATATATAAGAACCTATGGTGGTTGCTATCTCTAAGCAGTAGAAACAACTGGCATTAAGTGACAGGGAGGCTTTCAGATCTCCATTGTAACCCTTTAGTACTACTGGAATTTTTTAAAAACTGTATGTATTACTTAAAAACTCAGACATGAAATTACATGCTAAATTGAAGTTAATCCTTTATCAAAATAATTAGTTGTCAGAACAATAACCTATAAATTCTAAGGCCAGGTTCCTAATCTGTGTTCCAGAAATGACTTGCTATCCAGCAGTTTCTAAAAACAATCTTCTCAGTGTTTCTTTTTCTTCAATGCTAAGTTAGGTCTTTGACACTTTCCTCTGAATTACATATTGCTAATATCAACCAATAATCAGCAAACAGTATTATTTCAATATTTTTGAAGGCATCCTCAATGACTTATTTTGTGTGTAAACACCAACACATATATTTGAAGCAGTTAATCAACAAAATGATGCTCACCACGTTTAGCAAATTTTAAACTGTTGCTCTGTTTTCTCTTCTCTTCTCAACTAATCTTCAGTATGTTTCTAATACCAAAGGTTTTACAAGGTTTATGAAGTATAAAAAACCCCTAATAATAATGGAAAATATTACATTAAAAACAGAAATGTCAACATAGGTGTAATCTATAGGTTTATCTGACTTCCAATGATGCACTGACATACAATAACTTATAAACACATAAATTCTACACAAACGAAGGCTAAAGGCATACTATTTAGCTGGCCAGCCTTGAAATGGCCCTCTTAGCTGTTGTAATATTATCCAACTCATTGTTCAGATATGTTCCATCTGTATTGTTTCGTTATTAATACACATTGTGAACAACCACCCTTGCCATTACACACCGAAGCCTGTTCTGCTACAATACATACAGCAGAGGATACCGTGCTCCCCCCAGACACCCTCAAATCCCTTTAGCATTTTTGGACAGTGTGCTTTCTGCAACACCTATCTCCAAAGCCCTGGAGAGCTGGCAGTGCCTAGAAATGTCTTTCCCTACCCCATCTCCAGCCATCACCAATGGCCAAGAAATAAGGGAGTAAAAGTACTCTCTTACAGCTTCCATGCCCCTGACCAGGACAACTCTGACCACAGTCTTCAGGGTTACTCTGCAGGACTGAGCCAAAGTCCCTGGGACTTGGCTTGATACTACACCCTTGCTTGGATTCATTACATTTCTCCACTACCCTCCTGGTTTTCTCTGGGAACATATCCTAACAAATCACTTTTACATGAAGCTTTATCTAAGGATCTGCCTCTAAAGAACCCAAGCTAAGACAACGTATTTTTATTTTATTTTATGCAAAGTAGCTCCTAATGATCAACAGATAGGGGACTGATACCAGTACAACATGTAGGCTGAGGGCTTCGTAAGGGACTTTTCCAACATATTAATGTTTTAAAAAATAATCAGTGTCCAGTTTCCTCATAATTAAAGAGAAAACTTTAGTAATACATAAAGACATCAAGAAAGAAGCTGAATATATCTCTAACAATACAAAAAATACATGTGGATAAGTTTATTTACTGTAGTACTGTTAGTAATTATAAAATACAGGAAACAACCTAAATACCTGTACATAGGAGAATGGATGAATAAACTGTGACACATTCATACAATGAAGTACTACGCAACCGCAAAAAAGAATGAGAATGGCTGTATGAAGTGATGCAGGGTGATTTCTAGGGCATATTGTTATGCGGGGAAAAAAAACAAAGCCCAAAAGACTATTCACATCAAGTCATACAGCTAAATATATACATTTTTTATTAATCATACCTCAGTAAAGATGGGGGATAAAACAAGAGTCCTAAACTGATAAATTCAAATTTTAAAAATGGCATAACAAAAAAAGTAGTTGACCTAATGTATTTAGAAATAGTACTCTCAAAGTTAAAGTTAAATTTCATACTCAAATGTTAACGAAGAAACACTTAGATAACAAACTACTTTGTAGATAATGACAGATTAGCAACTATTTTATGACAAAAGCTGGATTTGGATAATACTGTTATATTAGAAAATAATGACATTTTATTTTGTATGTGTTCATATGATGTAATTATACC